CTGCGGGCCCTTGGCAAGTGTCCAACATGCCTATCCTTGAGGTTGCCCCTGCTTAGTTCCACCTTGGTTGATTTGTTATAGGTTGGTATCTTCCTGCCTTTTTGAAAGCAATACATTTTCCTGCAGTAGCCCAAAGGAAAAAATCATACCATTTTATCAGCCTGCTAAATGATTTATCTGTAATAATCACCAGATGAACTGGAGGCTATTTTATTTTAACTGTGCTGCATAAATAATTTCATGATTTAAACATGGATATAGGTTTAAATTGTTGAGTTTCTTTCTCCACAATAGTGATTTTTGTTTACATCTGGGATATGGGAAGAAGAGGTCATCCTAAAGCATCAAATTACTGCTTAATAGCAATGAATTAAAGCATAATTCATGGAATCATAGAATAATAGAGTTGGAAGGGGCCATGACGGTCATCAAGTCCAGCCCCCTGCTGTTGCAGGACACCAATCAGATGGCTGTCCAGCAATGAACTGAAGTACAATTGAACCGAGTACTACTTCACAATAGACCCATCGTTGAGTCACAATGGTTGTTATTGCCACTGTCTCGAAGCTGAACCCAAACAAAGTATTTTTTCTCCGACAAGTGGTATACATCCTAGCATATAAACAGTTCGCTGCAGAAGTATTCACCCACCTTTGACTTGTCCACCTTTTGTTGTGCTACAGCCTGGAACTGAATTAGCAATGTTGCCACTTGATGTACACAAGATGCTCAACACTGTTTTGGGGTAGTAAATAGTTTCGCTGTGGCACACAGGTTAAATACACAAACAGAAGCTGGCGCTTAAATATTCACCCGCTTTGCTGAGACATGGCTAAGCTCTGGTACAACCCACCGCCTCCAGAAGTCACATACGAAGCAGCTGTGTGCAGTTCCAGTGCAGTTCTGGAAGGCCCCAGAGTTTGTTGGAGACCATCCAAACAAACTGCATCATGTGGATTTATCTCCAACCCAGCAACGTCTGCTATTCTCCTTATTTATTTATCTTTAGTTTACATAGCACTAATTGCTGCTTGAGGTCACAATAGTTCAGACCTCAGATAAAAGGATGTTCGAGACTGAAAGTGCCTTTACAAGATCTGTTTGTATTTACCCAGAAATAAAGTAGTTTATAAGGAAAAGCAAAGAGGTATTCCTAAAAGAACAAAGATCCAGACTTACCATATCTCAACTAAATATATGCTGCATTGATTTTGTGCAATTTAATACCATGTGTTCTGTGGCTATGTGCTGGTTTTGTTTTCCTGCTTGTTATTTTGAAATACCCATATGGTATCCTAGGAACAGGCTATGGACTAAAATAGACTTATTGAATTTCTAAATCAGATGCCTAGAAGAAGACCTGCTGGCCAAAGTGTTTCACCATCAGCCAGCTCACAGCCCATTCCTGTTACCACCTCTGTCTCTAGGCCATCTCAGAGCTCACACAACAGATGCACTGACTTCCTCCCCTGAACGGTAGGCATGACACCTTCTCAGAGCTTTGCTGAGTACTTCATTCAGAAAAACAGAGAGATCCCCAATTATCAGTAGACCACGGCTGAATGATTGGGACCTTCTTATAGACTCCCTGAAAGCATCTGATGGGCTACCCTAAGAAAGGGGGTGTTGGCCTGAAGGACCGTTTTGTTCTTGTGAACGCATCAAGAGGCAGCGGTGAGAAGCAGAGCAAGGAGAGGGAAGGAGTGGAGTAATCCTGCCACCGGACACAGATAGATATATGGGCCAGCAGGGCTGGGGCTCTGCCATTTCCTCTTTGCGAGGATATTTCTGCCATCAGTCGCAACCACCCGTTTCTCTTGCGCAGGTTTCCTGGAATGTGTATTCTCTCCCACACCCAGTCTTCTGCAGCTGCTGGGCTGGAAACTGTTTTTTGGTCTGTCTGTTTTTTCAATCCAGGAGGGAGAAGAGGGTTTTATTTAAAACCTGTGCTTACCTCCAGCAGAACTCAGAGTCCACTTTCATGAAGGTGGATGGGGTTTGATCTCTGCCAGGGAGACAGACACCTTCTGAGCACCCAGCAGTGTGGATTGATTTGAAGAGCAGCAAGGAGAAAAATGGCTTCCGTTTCATCGTTCTGCTGCAGTGAATCAGCCTCCAAACCGTTAAGATGTGCACTGGAAAGAGGAACGGAACGGAACGGAATGGAATGTTTTAATTCATGCATCTGCCAGAAGCCATTGCAGTTCTTACATCGTACATAAAATAGTCAAACTAAAATGATAAACAACAGAGTACATCTGATATAAATGCTACTAAGCAACAGAACTATCAAACTAATTACAAATAAATTGAACTCAGGGCACCACAGTAAGCCCTATTATAATTGTAGCCACTAACGCTGTCATGAACGTGGATGTCACCTATATAATACTGTGCTTTGGGAGAGATGCGAATTGTGAGGTGCATGAGGAAGCTGTGTTTCTTTCTCTCCCCCATCCTCCAATAGCTGGACAGCACTTTAGGATTAACCTTTTTCCTCATTTCCTACAGAAAAGGAAAACAGCTCTCCAAGCGCCACTGAGAATAGCACACTGCGCATACCTTACCCCACTTGCGTTCGAAAATGCTGCAAGAGCCATTAGCAGTAATTACATGTTGCAAGAGCATCCATGTTGCAGGAGGGCAAAAATTGCAGGAAATTACAGGGGTGGCAAAGAACAAGAGGCAGCATTGCAATGCAAGATGAAAGGTGTTTGTCTAAACTTGACTACCACAGTTTTAGAGCACCATTTAGATGGTGGCAATCTGGATGATGGTCAGATTCTTAATGGGACTTGCTTGAAAAGAAAGGGTTAAATTCCGCATCTCCAAGTAGTGCAATTCCAACAGTTTTCAGCCCCCTCCCAGCAACTGCCAGTTGCATTTTTAGAAGTGTACCTATTACATGCAAAAAAATATCTTACATGTGTTTTGGGTTCCCTGATGTATGGACATAGGAAGCTGCAATGGTAATGCATCAGACGGTTGGATCTTCTAGTTTAGTAGTGTTTGTACAGACTGGCAGAGTCCTCAAGCATTTCAGAAAAGGATCTTGACCATGCCTCCTGGAGATGCCCAACTTCGACTGAACACAGAACTTTCAGCGTGCAAAGCATCTGCTCTACCACAAGCCATAGCCCTTCTCCAAGGGTCAGAACAAGAGCAGCCCTAATATTCTACTTAGACTGAGTGAGACAAGTAGACAATTCATCTACTTAGCCCAGAAGAGCTACACCAGGAGAATCATTAAAGGCCATGTTCTAGTGGCCGGTGGCTCCAATCTCATTGGGGTGCTGGATCCACCAGGGTTATCTGTTTAGAGGAGCTTTTCATGGTGCTAAACCTGATTTGGACATAATGCTTGGTACCATAGATAGCTCTGCAACCTGGAATGGATGCACTGAAACAGACCAAAACCTGGAATGGATACACTGCCCTACCAGTATTGGAGCCAGCATCTCCACTGGTGATGGGAAGAGATGAAAACGAAAGGGGTGAGGCCAAATCAGTTTCACTGTTACTAACAGTAACGCAGCTTAAGGAGAAGCATCTCAGCCCCTGTGGCCAGGAGAAATGAGTGGGGTTGTCTTGGGAACCTCAGAGGAGTAGTTTGGCAAGCCAGTCTACACTGAGTGCAGCAGCTCTCCAAGTTTTCCAATGGAAACATCACCCGTTTTAACTGTAGATGGCCGGAATTGAACTATGCACCTTTACTCTGCTAGGGATAAATGAGATTTTCATTTCAGTTTGCAAGTCACTGGAAAAGGGTCTGTTCACAGTTCTGAATGCAAAGAGGAGTATGTTTTCTCTGAAAATGTTTGCAAATCCTTGAACTTGCATTCCTGTCTGGAAGCATGTATATTTGTAAAATGCATAACTTTCTCAAAAAGCACAGATAAATGATAATATTCTTAAAATGCACAACTTTTGCAAGCTATACAACTTTATATGTGAAATTTGCGCAAATCTGGGGAATGTCTTGCTCAGCCTTCACACTGGAGAACTGTTCATTTTGCACAATGTCTCCATTCTCGCAAAATGAGAAGCAGCCACAAGTGCAACTGCAAATTAAAGACCGACGCGCAATGCACTGATGTTTGGAGAATCTGGCAAGTTCAATCGCTTATTTGCCCACCACTGTGCTCTTGCCACTGCGCTGCAGCCTGCATCTCAAAGACTGGATTTACTGGTTGACTTTGGATGCATCTCCGCTTGACGTGGACGTCCATCTATAACATGCAGGCAAATGTTTTATTAGGTATCTTCTAAAAGATTAATTCCTTCACAGTCTGCATATGCCCTTACCCTGTAATGTCATGTAGTCTGAATGTAAACCCAGCAGTCTGAAATGACCCTGTGTGCAGTCTCACTTCATGCTTTGCTCTTATGATATGTTGTAGCCTGGATTATGTTAAACTGATTTGGCGGCCAAGGTACATCCTAGATGAGGCTACTGAAGCTTGTCCTTTTGTGCCCTCCAGAAGTTTTGGACTACAGCTCCCAGCATTCCTGCCTATTGGCCTTGTTGGCTGGGGCTGACAGAGTGGAAGTTTCAAATATCTGGAGAACATCAGGTTGGGGCAGGCTCCCAGAAATGGATGCTTTATGGGCTTCACCCCTTGGGCTTTATGAGTTTACCACATCATCTGTGTCATAGTTGATTCTATGTCTAGATTCTGTCTGTCTAGATTCTGTGAGGACAGTCATACTTATTCCCATTTTCAAGGTGAGGAAGGAAGACCATGCAGTGGAGGGATGTATTCTGGTTTGCCTCTACATATCCGCCGCAAATGCAGTCTGTAAAGATTTAGTTAGGTGCCTTTACCGTTCTCATCCATTTTTGCAAATTTTTGTCCCCTGCTCAGGTTATTCTCAGCACAGTGAGGCTTCTGCTATGACCACAACACCAGCCCTCTCTCCCATCAGTCTGGCCATCCCCCGAGAAGACACGTCCCTGGCATTCTCTCCTCTGTGTGCACCCTCCGTCCGGGAGCATCACCATGGGAAGCGTCAGTAGCCTCATCTCGGGGCACAGCTTCCACAGTAAACATTGCCGGGCATCACAGTACAAGTTGCGCAAGTCATCCCACCTGAAGAAACTGAACAGGTACTCCGATGGGCTGCTGAAGTTTGGCTTCTCTCAGGAAACAGGCCACAATAAGTCCAGCTCCAAGGGCAACAAGAACGAGGACTTCTTCTACATCAAGGTCAACCAAAAGGCTCACCAGGCAGACTATGTGCCACTCACCAGCGGAGACCTGGGTCGCCAGGGTGGAAGCAGCAGTGTGGACTATGGCACCCCAACACCACCCAAACTGAAGCCAGTCCCCAACCAGGTGGAACTTGTGAGTTGCGTGCAGCCTGCTCAGGGTATAACAAAGATGTCATTCAGGTTAATGGAAGGAGGACTGTGCTGATCATACCAGAGGGCTATTGTCCTGTATCCCACAGCTCAGGTGGCTGTGGAGCCTACTTTGCGGAGGTCACTTCTCTGTCTGAAGGGCTGTAAGACTCCATTCCTGTTCTGGAAGTGGCTCCGTCTTGGAAAGGTGGTCTGGCCTGAAACCTCTTGACATGCTTACTAAAGCCACCTATCTTGAATTTTTGGCTGGGGAAAACGAGGAACTGTTAGGACATTTTGCTATCTAAACATACATAGGCTTGTAGCTTTAATTGATCAGTACAATGATCTTTTAACCATCTGACATTATAGTCCTGTGGACAGACGGTATAACATTTCCACTGGTCTGTGGCAGCACCTTTCATTGGGACTGCCTCTTTCATCCCTTCCTCCCACTCTCCTCCTCCCTTGTGTGGCTCTGCCCCCTCCCCTGGCTGGCCAGCGCTCTCCCATCCACCAACCAGTACTTCAATTTCTTTGCCACTCTCCAGTACCCACATCTGAAGGCTCAGAGCCACTCCTGCCTTCTGGGATGGGAGAAACACCGCCCCACTGCAGCCTTCTCCCAAGCACCCCCCTTTAGATCTTAATCATTTAAGGGGCCAACACGCATGCCCAGGGGTTCCCAAGATTTTGAGGTCTAGTCCATCATGGCTTGGAGTAGGACCTTTAGCAAAGTGGCACCCACCCTGTGGAACTTCCTTTCACTGCCCATTAAGCTGCTTGGGAAGCCTGCTGGACTTCCAGGGCCTCCAGAAAACTATCCCCTTTCAACAGGTATTCCGAAGAAGTAATGCTCCTGCAGGAAGGCTTGTTTGTTGTACATCACCCAGAAATGTCTATAATAGAAGCAATTTAGAAAAATGGTTAAATAAATAGGAGTGGGATCATATGCATGGTTAGACAGAATCTTACAATGATTTTCAGCATACCCAGCCAGGACTTATTTCTGTTTAAAGATGCATGGGATCATGCTCTGAATAAGTCACAGACTGGATGTGTGAGAGTGTGCACAAAGGAGGGAGTGACTCTTACGCCTCCACTCTGGCAATAGGTTAACAAGACCAAATGTTGGATGCCCTGCTGCTTGTGCTGACTGCCCGTTTCTTTCTCCCCAGGCTTCAGACAAGAGCTCCGCAAGGCCCACGGCCTTTAAGCCAGTCCTTCCTCGCTCGAACACGGTCCTCCTCTCATCCCCAGAGCACGGCAACGGCCATGCCCCGCAGCCACTCCTACCACAGGACAAAGCCAAGGATCCAGACCTTAAGCCTGCTCCATGCTCTGGAGGCCTCTCGGACTCGGGAAGGAACTCCATGTCCAGCCTTCCCACCCACAGCACAGCCAGCAGCTACCAGTTGGATCCCCTCATTGCCCCCGTGGGGCCCATCAGCCGGTTCGGGGGCTCTGCCCACAACATCACCCAGTGCACCATCCTGCAGGACAGTAACATGATGAGCCTGAAAGCCTTGTCTTTCTCTGATGGAGGCACCAAGATCCTCAACCCCAGCAAGTCCTCATCGGCACATCCCCATGCCGCTGAGAAAAACGCCTGCATCCGCTCACCCATCTCCACGGAGGAGTCGGCTATCCAGGAGCTGGAGCAGAAGCTGCTGGAGAGGGAAGGGGAGCTGCAGGAGCTCCAGTGCAGCTTTGAGGAGAAGGAGATCACCTCTTGCCAGAGCTTTGAAGAGAAGCAGAGGCGTTGCCGGGACGAGATGGAAGGGCTGAAGCAGAAGTGCAACAGCAAGCTCAAGCAGACCTCGCAAAAGACCCAGCGGGCCCAGCAGCTTCTGCAGCTTCAGGTGTTCCAGCTGCAGCAGGAGAAGCAGCAGCTCCGAGAAGAGATGGCAAACCTGATGAAGGAGCAGGACCTGCTGGAGACCAAGCTGAGGTCCTATGAGAAGGAGAAGACCACCTATGCTCCAGCTCTGGAGGAAACACAGTGGGAGGTGAGGCTCTGCTCCGTCTTGATAGAGGGAAGCTCTGGCTCTTTTGCAGTAGCCAGCTGGTCATATCTGCGTACAGGCCTAGGGTGTAAAGGAGGTGTGTTCACTGATCAAGGAGTTGACATGCAGAAATGGTGAGTGTGTGTTTCAGCTGCATGGACTGGCTTGGGTTCCCAGCGTGTCACTTGCCGTGACGTATAGTGATGGAGGTGAATTCAAAGCTGGGGAGCTGGAAAATCTACAGCGCATTATGACTGGGTCCACATTCCTCTGAATGTACACACAGCTCATGCATGGTATTTCTCTTTGAACTCTCTGGCAGGTCGCCTGCTATCATGCAGGCGTCTCCTTTTGTGAAGGATTTGGGGAGCTGGCCGCTTGCAGGGTTCCCTGGCAGAACTCAAAAATGCCTTCCAGGTGTCGCCCTTACTAGGCCGACAATTCTGGGCCATACCAGGGTTGTCACTTTCTGCAGTCACTTATTAAAACTATGTTTGAATGGTGAATATGATATATATATTGGTGCTGTTGGGCAATTCCTCGAGATCAAAGTGAACATAATTCAGGCTATTTCCAGAGGATACCCATGTTAATCTTTAGTACAGACCAGGTGTAGATGTTAATCCTGCGTTGTGTCTGCAGTTGGGCTGTTGAGTTGTCCTTCCAGTGTACAAACTTTCCTGTGATTTGCATACAATGGAACTGCATAGCTATATAATGGTTCAGTTGGGCTTTGTTTCAGGATTACTCTCCATGTGTAATCCCTTGATCTTAAACTGTTCCCACTTGGGTTAATGTTTGGATTGTTGATGTAAAGATACTTTGCACGGCAACAAAACTTACTCAGGGCATAGATAGTAAGTAATCAAAGGCAAGCTCAGAACACTTTTCTAGTGCAATTCTACACTTACTTGGGACTTTGCTCCATTGAACTCAGTGCAGCTTACTCTTGAGTAGAAATATATGAGATTGGAAAGGGCACGTATGCAGAACTGAGGATGAATGTGTTATAGTAGGTAAAGTCAAGGTCGCAGACCTGTAGTTCTCAACTCCCATCAGCCTCATGGCCTGTGATCAGGGGGAATGGAAGCTGTAATCCAACAATATTGGGATGCCCACCAATTTCCTACCCTTGGATTGGAACATTAGATTTAAGCCAGGAGGAGATAGGCTTAAATTCTTAGCCTCTAAATGTATTGGGTGGCCTAGGTCAGTCGCTAAAAGCCATATCTCATGTGGCTTGGCCCCACCTGCATTCCTGAGCTCCTTAGAGGAAGGATGGGATATACATATTGATTTGGAGTCCATGCCAAACTGTGACAGCATTTTTATGACTTTTTTGGTATTCAAAAACATTGTAATGTCTTCATTCCCAAGGTCTAAACACAAGGGCATCCAGTTCCTGGTTTGCCTTTTAACTGAGAGAGTTTAAAACAAAAGAAACACTTTGGTGGTGGAAGTATTGCTAGAATTGAAATGGAACTGTGTCCGTGTTTGTGTTTATGTTCACATGTATAAGTCTGTGTTCCATCTTGTTGGACCCTGTTCTAATTTTATTGACTATATTGGGTTGTTCTTCAGCTTATGTTTCCAGAAGTAAAACAGGATTTCATTGAAAAAAGTCCATCAGAATATGACTGAATGCCAGTACAAAGTGCTGTTGAAATTTTAGTAGGTCAATACATATGACTGGGACTCATGAAAACATCCAATGGACTCATACAAGCTGCTTTGGCTGGCAGCTGCTCTCCTGCATCCTTTGAAAAGGGCTGAACTCAGCCTCTGCTGCCTAAAATCCTTTAAGAGGTATCTACACATGCATTGGAGGGTTATGGCCCTGCATGTGCTAGCCCAGCCCTATCACCACTTCCCCCAGTGGGGCCCCCTCCATGCTCTGCATGTCCAGAGTGCACCAGAAGAGGCTCTACATGTATGCCAGTTAAATGCCTAGTTAAACAAATAGATCGATAGCAGGCAGCAAAACCAATGCCCTCCCTTGTTGCTCCCAAATGTACCTCAGAGGAAGGTGGGACATACAGGAGAGGGCCTCTCCAGGCAATCTAATCCCGGAGTAGGCAACCTGCATCCCTAGGGCCATCTGCTGCTCTTGCCTACACGCGGCCCTCAGACTGATGTCCAAGCCTTCTGCAAGAGAAGTTCAGACTTTACCATGAGTGATTTGTTCATCCCTGGCAGCAGGGAGAGAATGAGGGAGAGAGACAGAGAGAGGCCTGGCCACTTCTGTTTCTGGCCCTGCCTACTGCTGGCTTCAGTCTCTTAAGTTAAATGTCAAACTGAATCAGACTGCAGTTGATTCAGGCAAGTCAGTAGGGTAAACCAATTCTAGGCAACCACCTGATTCTGACCGTCCTGTGTCCCTGCAGGTTTGTCAGAAGTCTGGCGAAATCTCTCTTCTGAAACAGCAGCTGAAAGAGTCCCAGACAGAGCTCAACAGCAAAACCAACGAGGTCCTCAACCTGAAAGCTCAGCTGAAGGACATCCGGGCAAAGATGGAACTGCTGGAGATGAAAATCCAGGACTTGGAAGAATCGCTGCAGGCCAAGGCCATGGAACTGGAGGTGTGTGAGAATGAGCTCCAGCGCAAGAAGAACGAGTCAGAGCTGCTGAGGGAGAAGGTGAACCTGCTGGAGCAGGAGATTGCAGAGCTCAGAACAGAACTGACCATCCTCAGGGAGGAGATGAAGTGTGGGGTGGTTTCTTTAGGCCTGGAGGGATGTGTGGCTGAGGATGCCCAAGCCCTGTGGAGGGAAGTGGAGAAGCTGAAGGCAGAGCTGCAGGAGGAGCAGGACAACAATGAGCAGATGACCGTCAGCTTCCAGCAGGAGCGGCAGACCTGGAAGGAGGAAAAAGAGAAGGTGATCCAATATCAGAAGCAGCTGCAGCAAAGCTATCTGCACATGTACAAACGGAACCAGAATCTGGAAAAGATGCTCCAGCAGCTAGCTGCAGGAGAGGATGGCAAAGAGCCCATAGACCTTGATCTCCATGGTACTGATGTCCCTTATGAGGACATCATTGCCACTGAAATCTAAAGGGTCTTCTGTCTTCATGCTCACCATAGAGAAGATGGGGGCTCTCTTTCATCCAGGGGGTTGCAATCAGTCCAGGAGAACCATCTGTTTGTTGGTTGGGGTCCTTCTCTAGGGAAATGGATCACCAGCTGCTGTCATGCTACATCCATGCGGGGAGGGGGGAGGTACTATCCCCAACCAACTGTGCCCAGTGTGTCTCAGTGGGGGGCAACCATTTCCCATGCATCCTCTTCAGAAAGGGTAAGGGTGGGTGTTCCCAGCTGACTGCTCTATCAGCTAAGATCAGCAGCAGAGTGGCTTCAACAGAAAATATGCAAGCAACTCCGTGCCAGATAGAAGCAGCAGCTCCCTCTTACCCATGCCCCTGATACAGTTGCCAAGGGCTAGCAAAGAAGCAGAGGCGGTGGAAACCCCCTGCAGCCATAGAAAATGCCATAGCAGTCCCCCTGTAGCCACAGATGTGAGACAAGGACCGTTCATGCTCCAAGAGCCTCCCAGGTGCCATGTGAGAGGACTCTGGGGAAAGTGCAGCCTTTGGCCCTTTATTCTTGGGTTAAGGAAGAGAGAAAGTGAGAAAGAGGCTGACACCACAGATCCTCAAGAATATCATGTCAGATCTCATTGACCGAAGATATGTCCAGGGTGAGGACAATAGCAAGGGATTTTTTTTAGAGCCAGTAGAATGGAAGGTAGTTTCTTCACTTGTGTGGAGAAAACATAGTCCTATTCCATGGGTTGCCTAAGGAGGGCCCTGTTTCTCCAGGATAGATACCCCTGGTGGAAACGACAAAGGATGCATGAGAATTTCTGTTCATTAAGCATCAGAACGTTCCCCTTTGGCAAACCTGAACGTGAATGCAAATAAGTGTGCATTTCTCCACCAAAGCTCATTTATTTCCAAGGTTTACAATAACATTCGAACTTTGTGTTCACTCGAGAAATGAATACTTTAAAATAGCCATTTTTATGGTTTAGTCAAAGGGAATAAAAGTAGCATTTTAGTATGCACATTAAAAATGCATACCCAAATGTTCACTTTCCCTGTTGCTGGGTGAAAAAGGGGAGGGGAGCTTGTGTTCAGAAATGTGGATAAGGCAAACTGAGCTTCTTGGTGGAAATGAAAAACTTTGAGAGCTTGAGCTTTGCTGATTCTTCCATTCCTAGAAATAATGGGCTATTGTTCTAGGCCAGGGGTGGGCAGAGAGTAGATCTCTTGATGTGTCAGACTTCAGCTCCCAGAAGACTCTGCCAATAAGGCCAATGCCCAGGAATAGTGGGAGTTGAAGTCCCAACATCTAAAGAGCTACTTTCTGCCCACCCCTAGTCTAAACTATTAGAAGCCATAGTCTGGCACTTAGCCACTGGATCTTCCTCATTCTTTGCTCATTGTTTAGCTTTGCCTCTTCCCGGAGCAAACTAGAGTTGGGAGAGGTATATTTTTATTCATTTATTTTTGGTGGGAAGCCAAAAACCAACAGCCCTAAAATGACCTTGTGTTTTTGAATGGGAATGTTTATATATTTGTTGATCTAAAATGTGAATATTTTTATGGATTTTTTATTTTGCAAGTATTTAGTGTTCATTTTTTCACATATTCTCTCTCCTGTTGTTGCCACCAAAATTGATGTTTTGATCCCATGAACCCTCTCCTCCTTTTGTCTAGCTCTCCCAGGGACTACGAAGTATAAAGGGTGGAGGAAGCAGTAAATCACATAGGCGCCCAACAATGGGGGACAAGATGTAGACATTTCATAACCCAAGAAGATGGATCAAAAGCTTTTAGGCTACTGATCTTCCTGGGCAAAAGAATCAGTTTTAACGCAAAGCCACAACTTTTTCCACAGAGGTATCTGCATCCTCCTTGGGCAGGTATTGCCAACTCAAGGGCAGACCACCACCCTCACAAACTGATGGGGCACACTCTGAAACATAGCGACCCTGGCAGAACAGAATCTGCTTCAGCCCCAGTGGTTGTGAAAGCGCTGCTGGTTCCCAGAGCAATGCCAGGTGACAAAGCTGGGCAGGCTGCGCCAAGAAGAGAGGTATGGCATCATTACCCAGGCAACACCTGCTATGCAGCACCTGAGCATGAGAGCCCGATGCAGCAGGGAACATGTGCAGCCTGCACCAGCTGAATTAAAGCATTGTGCAAGTCAAACGTCAGCTTAGAACATGACCCTAGAAGGAAGGAATGGATCCCCACAAGCTCCTGTGAGCATATTGCTGAGGGGTGGGAGGAGCCTCAGATAACCTGGATGACAATTGCCAAGAGGAAGAGTGTTTGTGAAGCCCACTCATAACACATTTTGGGGGAAGCACCGGCTTTTCTTCCTTTCTGTCCCAGTGTGAGATACCCTTTGTGACCCATGAAGCCAAAACCTGGCACCCTCATTCCACACAGCAAAATGCAACATTTAATACATAATTATTAGGTATTATTAGTATTAAAACAATCAACTCATCTCATCCATCCATCCTCCAAAGTTTTTTAAAATTACAGCCTTCCGAATCAACCTATTAATTTCTGGATTACATCCATTTATTTTTTTAAAAAATAAGAACAGCTATAGCCCCTCATAGTAAATACATTAGTGCTGGATTCTGAATTTTTCATTCCAGTCTAAAACAAAATAAATGGAGTTCAGTTTTCAATATTAAAGGTAGGTCTTTCTCCCCTTTCCAAAGAAAAGCTTAAGGTGGCTCCCAATAAAAGCAACAACATAAATGTGCAATTGGAAAATGTTGATTTGGAATCTAGTCAGGGCACATTCCTGTGGCCTTCCAAAGTTGTCTGGTGGGGCCATAGGATCATTCAGAGCCCCAGACAGAAACATAGCAAGTCAGAAGGGACCTCACCTGGCTCCAACCAGTTCCTCTCATGTATTACCTAACACGTGGTTGTTCAGTCTTTCCTCACAGATGGGGCCCACACCACCTCCCATGGAAGCCCATTCCATTTCCTCCCATTCCCAGCCCACCATTTTAGAAGCTGTTGTAGAGATCAGATCAGCAAGTCAGCTGCCCCTCCCCAAAGTCCCTATGTGCCTCAAACGGGAGAAAAATGGGTGGGCTCAGAAAGGGAGAACCTGGGGCTGAGGACTTAAGGCTAATTCCTGTGGGTGTTCCAGCCTTCTTCCCCCGCACTCCCTGGCACTGTGTGTAGATAGCCAAAACCAACCATAACTTGATGAAAATCGGGGTGCAAGGCACAGCAGCAGTAAAATTGGCCACCATGCCTCATTCCGGGCATAGCATGCTCATAAGCCTCCAGGTTCGGAAACCTGCGTACACCGAGGGCAGCTTTCATCCTAAGGAACTAACCTAGTTGAAGAAAGAGCAGGAATATACCCCCAGCAGCAATAAGCTTATTTAAAAAACAGGAGGCCATTAAAACCAGAATAAAGCAACCATCTTCAATCAAGTGTATTGCCATCGATAGACCCCTCCCCCCGAAAAAATTAACATACGCTACACGGAAATCGTAAAGCAAATTCAATTATAATGTAAACACAATGATATAGTAGTCTAATATTCACAAATTGGTCCCCAGATATGATCATGGCAGTTTCACATAGAATGTTCTGTTGTTGCGAGTTGTTCTCAAAGGTATGGACAGTAATTTAGATACTATCCATAACACCACTGGGATTTTAACTTCTGTCCCTTAAAATTGAACTGATCTTTCTGATAGGTCGGTAAGTAAGGGACCAACTGTGTGCTGCCTAACTCCAGCACATAAGTTACAGAACAGAAGGACATGTTTTATGGATTGTCCCTCCTGATTATGGGTTTTCCTCCTGATTTTTAGAAGGCTTTAGAAGAGAGGATTATCTGTATGCCTGCTCTAAAGTATTTAGAATAGAATATTTCCTTCTACAAACCAAGCACCTTCCTAAAAAGGAAGCTTTTTATAATTTCTGCACTTGATCTTAGCCAAAAGGCCAAGAAGCAATGCTTTTTATCATTTCTGGAAGGGATTCAAAGAAGGGCAAGGTGTGCTTCTCTCAGGAAGGTCTTCAAAAGTCTAGGCGCAGCCTCAGAAGGCATGAATACCAAGATGCCCTTGAAAAATAGACACCCTTTAGCACAAGGGTGAACTTGTTTTGGTCTTGGGAGCTAAACTGACCCCCAGTACGATAGAGATCATATTGGGATGAGGCAATGCCACAAAATATTGCCCCCTCTTAGCCAGGTGCTTCCTTCAGGTGTGCAATGACCTCCTTGGCCACTGGTTGGCCATGGACAAACTGCAGAGATGAGAAACCTCCACAAACCAGATTAGGCCTACAGGCTGGAGGTTCTCCATTCCTACCTTGTTGTTGTTGTTCGTTGCACAGTGTCTGACCCATCCCGACCCCATGGGCAGCATTCCTCCAGGCCTTCCTGTCTTCCACCATCCCCCAGAGTCCACTTAAGCTCACGCCGACTGCTTCAGTGACTCCATCCGGCCACCTCATTCTCTGCCATCCCCTTCTTCTTTTGCCATCTATTGTTCCCAGCATTAGGCTCTTCTCCAGGGAGTCCTTCCTTCTCATTAGGTGGCCAAAGTATTTGAGCCAAAACCTCATTCTTTTCTGCAATAGGACTGTGCCAGCACAGGAGAGAGGCTCCCCTCAAGGCTAAGGAAAGGGCTCGTGGCAGGCATGTTGGTACCTTCATGGGGACCAGAGCTGGCCCAAGGCATTTCTCTTCCTGAGGCAGAGGAATGGATGGCTCCTCCATCCAAGTCAAGATATGCCACACCCCATGCCAAGCAAACTATTTTGACTCCTGAGACTGAAAAAGAAGTCACAGCCACTTTTTCCTTCCCTGCCAGTTCCCAACAAAAGTGGAACAAGAACCCATTTGCTGCCCTTTCATGAGATCCAAAAATCAGCAGCTTGATTGCTTTGTTTGTTGGCTTATTTATTAATTCCTCTATCAGTCTTTTTAAATATATGTACCACCCCACAGCAGAGTGCTCTAGGAGAAAATGCATTGAAGCACAACATAGGATAAAA